TTTTCATGAGCTGTACATACCTCTCTCACCCCCCTTAAGAGTAGCCGCATAACCCACCTTCATGGGATATGGCAAAAATGCAAGGATTTAAAAAATTTCTTTTTTTAATGTGTATATATATATATATATATATAAGTTCATTTACCTTAAACATAATAAACAATACTTAATAAATTAAGTTTTTGTTAGGTGCGGCGTATATATAGGAGTTACCTTATACCCTATACTAAATAATTTTAAAATATTTGCGTATTTAATCAGATTAAAATGAATTTAAAGAATTACATTCTTATTGTTTTATTTTAGATTTTTTAATATAAAATTAAAACATTGTTTTACATGTCTCGATATTCGAATTAGTAAAACGTTACGAAAGGAAGGAGCTTTGAGATTTGAATCTTGGAGTAATGTTTTTTTTCGCAATAAATTCTTTACAAAGATTCTCATCAACGTTATGCTCATTAACAATAAATTGCCAATTTAATTTGTGATTTTATAATAGATTAGGATTGTTTCAAGATTGATAAATAATATAATCGGTTCACTGTTTGAACTAATAATTGTGAAAATTTATACAAAAAAATTATTAGGTATCAAGTTCCATTTGAATATATGTAACCTTTTTTGCTTATTTATATTAAAAAGTTTTTTTGTTCGATTTTCACTGACTATTGTTTGCATTATTTTTTAGTTTGATATTTTTTAAGATATTTTCTTCTGATGTAAATGTCAAACTTAGAGCGTGATTGAATCGAAAAATCACAAGTTTTGTTCTTTTCAAAAATTAAAAAGGCATAATTCTATGTAAATTTTGTATTCAATTTTCTCATTAAATATGGAATAAATTACGATATTATTGGTATCAGATCGAAGCTTAATATAGGGTGATTCAAAGTAACCTTTTGTTCTTAAAGAGACATATTCCTGGCTGTATTTTAAGACGATTTTTCCTTTGACAAAAATTTGTCTGAAGCTTAGTTTTTAAGTTATAAAGAGAAATAGTTAGTATATCACAAGTCGAGTACGGAAGGTAACCAGGGGCGGCACGCTCACCGATGCATGCGGGTTACTTATGGTGCCTGTCAGACTCAATAGTCAGACGACAGTACACACGCCTAGAATATACATTCAAATTCTCTCTCTCTCTCTCACACACACACACACACACGCACACATTCTTACGCATCTATTTATTCACTCAGTTATCTACATTAATCTTTGGCTGGCACCGTACTAGACGCCCCAGCGTATTTCAACTCTAAATTAAAGTTTCTTATTGTTAGAAAATGGGACTTGTAGTACCGTTTGTTAAAATTAAATTTTCTTAAAATAATCTCTGGTGCTTGTTAAAATAACATTTCCAGAATATCCTGAATTTTTATCAAGTCAAAAATATCAAGTAATCTACTCGAAGCAAACGATTTTATGGTTGGAGTACCAGACGCCTCATTGTGCTAGCTATGTGATTTTAGAGAAGTGTTGATAGCTAAGGGTTAATTATTACTAACTTGAAAATGATATCGAAGCATTTGTCATCTTACTTTATATGGTTCTAATAAAAACTAATTGTTAAAGAATTTTTGGTACAAATGTAAAGTCAGACAAAATAATAGTGCGCAGTCGACATAAGTATTTGCAAATCGCGAATTTCCATTACTCTTACAAATTTTACGCAGATATCAGATTATTTAAATATTAAACTAAATACCGATGAGAATAAGCCATTTACTGTCAAGCTGGATCTCGGATGCTTCTAATATAATTTTGTGGTGAATTTATATACTACGTATGTAGATCCTTAAATACGCACCAAAATTTTTTCAGACTTACAACGCAAACTAATAAAACTGCAATACTATCACGAGTTAAATTGATTAACAATCTAACAATTTTGATGCTCGTAGCATCTTTAGGTCTTAATAATACGTTGAATGACATATTAAAATCTATGAACGACATATTAAAAATCTGTAAATAATTTAATTACATTGCGAAAAATATTACCTTGGCCGGGAGTCGAACCCGGATTGCTTGTTTTACGCGCAAGTGTTCTAGCCAATTAGACTACCGAAGTATTATTCTCATCGGTATTTAGTTCGAAACTCTCACGCGCGGTTCAAATTTGATATTATTTAAATATTATTTTCAAGTTAAAATTATTAAGCGCAATTAAAGTGCGTAGATGTGTGTGTTTGTGTGAGAGTGCGAACGAGAAAGAGAGAGGGAGAGAAGAAACATGTTGATATAAATTTGAACGTGTATACTCACGCATTATTCTGTACGACTATCTGCTGATTCCTCCCACGATGAAACAGATCCGTTTTAAGGGTAAAAATGTAGATCAGGGGAATCCCTCCAATGACCTTGACCTTGACATGTTATCAAGGTCATGACCCTGAGTAACCTTGAGGAAGTTTTAACCGTCGGACTTTACTCGTTCAAAAATTATAAACAAAAAGTTGATAATCATTATACCAAAATTAACTTAATATAATTAAATATTCAGTGATATCGAACATCACAAAAATTCAACAACTATTATACATAAATGACGAATGCTATTCGCGGAAGTTGCACGTACCAAGGCAGGGAAGAGAGTGTGGTGGAAGTCGCTCTGAAAAGGAAATCTCTGTTTCATACAGTATAAAAAGGAAAAGTTATTTTTTAAACTTCTTTAGTGACTTTAGTATATATAACTTTTGAGAAAACGACTCTCACCCTTCCCCCCCCTTTCCCCTGTAAAGGAGCTCAGACTTTCATGTCGCTTTATGTTGTAAAGTATATGCATGAATACAGTAGGATCCGCCTTCCCTGCCGGCTCCACTATTGTAAAAGATAACCTAATTCAATCCATTTTTTGGTACGAGGTAGCTCTCGCTTTGCGTGAAAAATTGAAACCCATGTACAACAGTACAATCATGGAAGTGTGTTCGCATGGAAAGTCTCATACTAACAAATGAGTTAGGTTAGATTATTTTTAACAGTAGTAAAGCTCGCCCGTAGGGGGGGGGGGGGCGAATCTACTGCATCTAGGCATGCACTTTACAACGCTATATTACTGAAATATGTAGCCATGCGTTCAAAAATTACATATACTATTCCAAAAAATCATTTTGTTAATAACTTTTTAACGAATAACATCCGATGATTAAAATTTCATCAAGGTCACTCAGGGTCATGACCTTGACAACATATGTCAAGTTCAAGTTTATTGAGGGGTGGGGGTGGGGTTTTCCTGATCTACATTTTTACCGTTTCAAATAATCAATGACAATCTTTTCCTCTTTACTTCTTAAATTGAACCGCGTCTCTACACACTCAAGTACTCTGTTCACTCATTTGATTGAGAAAACGAGAAATTTATTACTGAATTGATCAATTAATCACTATGAATATTAATCAAAGAAAAAAAACATGTGTTTACGTGACGACACACATGTTTACACGACGAGCAGCTGACTGATTTTATTGATTACTGTGTGATAATCAATGTAGATAACTGAGTGAGTAAATAGATGTGTAAGAATGTGTGTGAGAATGTATACTCTAGAGTCCGTATTTAGAACGCGCTTACAACGATGTTAGCGCTTTAACATGTTATAGTTTACGTTGCGCTCACTATAGAATTTCAGAGATAAAAGCGCGCTTTTATCAATAAAAACGCGTTCTGAATACGGACCTAGGTGTGTGTACTGTCGTGTGACTGTTGAGTCTGACAGGCGCCGTAAGTACCCGCATGCATCGGTGAGCACGTCGCCCCTGATGGTTACCTTCCGTACGCGACTTGTGATACGCTAACTATTTCTTTTTATAACTTAAAAACTAAGCTTCGGACAAATTTTTGCCAAAGGAAAAATCGTTCGAGAATACAGCCAGGAATATATTTATTTAAGGACAAAAAGTTCTTTTGAATCACTCTGTATGTAACTTATAAGCTGTTTAAGACATGAGCTTTACGACTGCTTTCTGTATATAATGTATTTGATCTAATATGAGCGGAACGGATAGAGCGGTTAGTATAAAAAAAGATAAAAAGGATAAATGTAAAAGATAATACGTGGCGCTGGTTAGAGAGGGGATTATGCGGGATAGGACGAAGAATTGCGGCAAGTTTTAATAACTGGAGGGTAGAGAGTTAGTAGGTGATAAGTTAAAATCTAAAATTCATTAAATTGAACCGCCAGAAGTGTCGCGCAAATTTGTAAAGTACGATGCTGTGTATCCTGTAAAGAAAACACGGCTCGCGGTGGGTCGTCTAGGACGAGTGACGGTATTAACTTTTTAATTGCTTTGTTGCACCCATGGCGGGCGCGGCACGGAACGATGCGATTATGAATTTTTAATCTGTCCTTGAGTCTTGACTCTCCGCCTTGCAAGATGACGGTGCAGATTATTCGAAGAAGTCGTAAACACAAAATTGTCACGCTCCTAAATCAATCTCTATGTTTAATAACGGTGAATAAATGCTTCGAACGATTACACGAGATTATATGTATCTTCTAATATATTTATCGGAAAGATGGGCGTGAGAAATAAATCAATATTAAGTATGCGAGGAGTATTTAAAGAGTCGATAGAAAGTTCCGTGGAATTTAAACCAGGATTGATGAAGTTTCGAAATTAATTCGTATCAAGCTTTGAGTTGACTCGTCGAACGCGACACGATTCCTTCACGGTGTTGCTAAACTTACGTAATAACCTTCTGCTCGCGAAGTCTTCGCCACGATGTGCCTGATAAATATTAAATTCAAGCCGTTCCTCGACCGGAATAACGATTTCCACACAGCGTTCTATCTTGCGATGAACTTTACGCGACGGCGTATACGTATATATGTATGTATAATGTTCTGCTATTTTTTTTGAAGATTTCACACATACGGAAAATTGTTTCGCTGTACATTTTTCTCTAGAAAATAATCGAATATAGAAATTAGAAAATATTTTATCTTGTATATGTTTATGTAACACTAAAATTAGTATTTCTATCATATTTGTTTCAGTTGACCTTATACAAATGCTGGAGTTTAACTTAACTGTGTCATTGCCAGCTGCTTCCCTATTGACAGTAGTCTTGGCATTAGTAGGTAAGTTTTATATTAAGTATTTACATTTTTAATTATTTGTGTTAGTATATGTTAGTCTTATTTTTGTCGTGTTTTCTTGAAAAATGTTTTATAGAAAATGAAATATTTTGATTGTATAACGTTTGCACATTCATTGGACTTTACATTTACATTCAAACATATTTCTTGGATTTTTTCATCATTACTATTCTTTCGATATCAATTCTTATTGGACTGCTAAATTTCAAACCGAATAGAGACAATGTCACAGCGATCTAAGCTGGATCATTATTCTGTATACAGAATGTATACATTGCAATGTTTTTGGAAGCGTTCGATGAAAGTTGATTCATTTTAGCTGGAATAATCAATCGGCCGCGAATTCTCAAGTACGTTGGAGTTTGGTCGCGACGTGCTAGTGAAATATTAAATACCTTTTTACTAAATCACGACTGTTCCTGCTCTCTTGAATTCTCGCCGGTAGGACGTTAGCTCGGTTACAAAGCTGATTGGCCGGGACGGTTAACCCAGGATTCTGCATAAATTTCTGATGAAGGCGCAACAGTTGGGTAACCCGCTCAGAGCCCATTTAACAGCAGTGGCGGCGACGTCGCGCGACACCCATTTCCATTTCGACCTGAATATCTTCTCTTCACGCTTCGTGTGTCCACTGGCACCAATGGTCCAATTGACCTGCATAAAATACGACGTTTCTGATCCTCCCGTCTATCCGACGGCTCTGAAAACATTGATAGAATCTGATTTTACGATCTTTGTTTCTTCTCCTTGCATTGCGATACTTTTGTACGCAATAAATTATTTCTCTCGAGAAGAACCTCTTTCAATTTGTTAACGAGTTTAAAATCCGTTCTCTCTCAAGAATTTTCACGCTATTCATATATTTACTGAAATATTAGATACTGTTTTAGCTTACGTCTAATCTTAGCTTTTCTATTGCTATTTGTCTTGAGCACAACTGCCCATTTATAAGCACAGAAAATTAATGTTAGGTGTACAAATTAGTTTGGTCCGTTTTTTGTGTTCAAAAATGCATTTGTTTCAAAACAAAATGAATGAACAGATTAATTAAAGTATTGTCCATCGCTGGCTACTACTTTTTCCCAACTCTCAGGCAATTTTCGAATCTCGAAAAAATGACTCGTCTTTGGAGGCGATAATCTTTTGGAAAACAGACCGAACTAATTTGTACTCCCAATTATACCTATTGTATATTTCAAATCTCTATTTTTCTTGTAGCATTACACACGCACGCGCACGCATACGCACAATATATGTGATGTCTTCCTTCATCTTATCTAGGAATGCTATAACAGTGCTAGCCATTAATTTTGATTAAATAAAGAACAAGATTGCAATATATTTATCGGATTTAACAATAAAAATGATTTATGTACAATCTAATAGGATATCCATGCATTTATACATATACCACCAGTTGCGCAGTCAGTAAGCAGTTGAACGAAATGTGGCAACAGAAGTGATAAATTTCCGCATCTCTTCCCCCGTTACGGGGATTGCCAAGAGAATCGTATATACAAAAATTAAAATATACATACATACACATATACATAGTGTGTGTATAGTACATATACACGCGCGTTCGCACATGTACGTCAAGTCAACATGGTTGAAAGTATAGGAAAAAGAGAAGGAGCCTTAGGGAAGTTGTTATCTGGAGTAATAGGTTCCAGTTCCTGTGTCGTTTCCTGCTCTCTCCATCCGTCATCCTGCAGTGGCTCTCTCAGCTTTCTAAACCTTCTCTCGCGTCTTCGTCACATGTTACTCTTTTCGGTCAAAGAGAATATATCGTTACTCTTTTCCTTTCTTGTATTTTAGCATTTCTGTATCCTTTAATTTTTTTTTCAGTTTTTCCCAATTTGTATAATAGTAAGAAGCGTGGAAAACATAATGCTGTAGTATTTCCTTGAATAAAAATAAAGAGGAATATTCATGCAATATCTTTGTAATAATATAATTCATTAGAAAAAGTTATTAAACTTTTATGCAAACAACTTTGTAATTTTCAACGCCTTTGTATTTTTGTAATTTTCTAAATTATCTCGAAATGTATACTTTATCGTTTATACGTTAGCATTTAGATTACACGTTAGGTATTTTCTTGTCTTGCGTAACGTTTTCTCTCAAACGCTGTTTGCCATTCGGCTCGGTATGTTCTTTTTCAATTTTCATCCTTGCGTTTACGTCGTTGATGGGCAATATTTTGTCTGGCGGATGCCTGCGGCATCATCAGCGTGAATTCATGTCAAATCGTCCACGCGTCGTTCGGCATTTGGCATTAGGTACGACGTGGAAGACGATTTTGCATAATGGGACGTCAAAGAACGAAGGCACACCGGCGCCTCTGTGCATCAGTGACGCATGATCGGTCGCCTAACATGCTGTAAACACATTTTCAGAGACGGTCAGAACACGTTGTACCCGCTCCATTCCGTTTATCTGCTTATAACGTTGATGCGAAGCTGCCGTATACGTATTAGCATATTTTGTACAGGCGCGTGAGCACGAGCGTCTCAACCGTGGTAGATTCAAGGGAATAAATAGCATTTGATACCTTGACTGGCACTGTGATAAAGGAATTGCAAAATTGCTTAGGGTATGGATTAATCAGGATGTAATAAAAATGATTGAAAGCGGATTATCTCTATGCATTTTGTTCTATATGATATATCAAGTGAGTTTCTCATAATAAAGTTGCGCATGTTCATAATATCGCGATATAAAATAAGTATAACTCGTTCTTATAATACTACGATTAGGCAAATTATCGCGATTACGGTTTCGCATATTCGAGGTGCCGACGTGATGCCATGGGATGGCTAGATCATGGCGCTAGAGCAGATTAAACTACAGTCTATATAGCTCTCCCTGCTTTGCCAACTCTAAAGCCGCTTCTGCTGCCAAAGCACAATATAGCGTCTGCAGCGGCGAAGATCCTGGTATAGCAGTGGATAATTTGCTCGGGATTCGCTACTCTACGATATACCGTTCTGCTTCTGACATACGACGGTTAATACGAGTCCTGATTGGTCCTTGATTAAATCTTCCATGCTTTGGCGAGTACGATTTCGCTCCTAATTATCTCGTCAACAGTCACTTCGCGAAAGGAGATCTGCGAGTTTATATAGCGATCTCGAGCGTTATACAAGACGCGAACGTGTCTCCGACGAAGATAGGACCCGTATAGTTTACAGCAATAGTAGCTAACAATTATATAGATCTTTAATGGGGGAACCGATCCGCAACGCGAGCTTTGTAAACTAATTTCAAAGAAATTAACGGCTTGTGCCTTTGACATATATTAAGATAAGTTATATTCGTTTCACAAGCTATAACAATTTTTTTTTCCACTCTCGAATTTATTTGAGATTAGTTTTTATATGGAATACGATAAATGACATAGAAACAAGTGATTAGTGAGTAAACGAAATAAATTTGATATTTTCGTAGGACAGCAGTCTTTGGCAAAAGAATTTCGTAAGAAATTCCACGTACTGCAATCACTTGTATTTATTCGCATTCGATCAAGTGCGTCGAATCTCGCGTTCGATCAAACTCAAACGTGTTCTCACACGGTCGGTCAACGGGAAATATTACGTCTATTAGATGGGAAGAGAGAAAAGGAGAGAGGGAGTAGATTCTGCCGATGTGCGCAATATTGGTACCGACCAAGCTCGACTTGACGCCGCGATGACACATGAGCGATAGCCGTACGCAGTTGACCATTGATTAACCACATTATTAGCTGCCGCCTCTTCGGAAAATACGCGCGACGCACATTCTAGTATTATTTTGCATTGCGTCAGATATGAATTTATGCAATATACACATGAATTGCATAATTCTTCGCGCGACTAATCGACGGATAGATAACTAATGGATGAACTTGGAGCAACAGCGCATTATTATAATATTTGTGCAATTTTAATATCTCGACTATGTTTAATTTTCTTTTTAGAAACCTCATAAGGTAACGTTATTTTATTTCTAAAATTACCAACGAGAGTTACCTATGAAATTTGATAATAACTTGTAATATTAATAATCCTTAAACACGGAGATAGGTACATACACAGTTTGGAAAAAATATGTTAAATTTAACATAAACCGCATATGTCTCAAACGGTCCACTCAAATTTTTGTGTTAATTTAACATAATCAGGAAACGCGGTAGTGTCTCCGGCCATGTTCAAAAACTGAAATATGATTATGTTGAATGGTAACACGGATAGTATGTTTATATTTCAACAAAAATGTAATGTAATATAATCTTGAATAAAATTTAAAGATTGAGTCATTTTTTCGAGATGGAATTCGAAAATTGCCTGAGAGATGGGAAAAAGTAGTAGCCACCCATGGATAATATTTTAATTAATCTGTTTATTCATTTTGTTTTGAAATAAATGCATTTTTGAATACAAAAAAAACGGACCGAACTAATTTGTACACCTCTCTAATATATATATATATATATGTGTATGTATTTGGAGCATTTGACATTTCCATCAATTGTACTGTCACGTACGAAATGTCTAATAAAATCAACAAGGGCATTAATTTGAAATTGTTGCCTATTTACAAGGTCTAAGTTTACGCTCGATCAGCCGACACCGATATTGAGCGACGCGTTAGTGAGTTGTGGACGGCGTGAAGCATACGCGCAATTACGCGAAAGCCTGTGCGACAACCGTGCGTGTAGTCGCGGCTTCAAATTAGTTATGATTCGTGAACCCCCTGTCAGTCGGCAATTTGCAACCGGGCCGTTCCGTCAATTTAGACCACGGTATTTTGCGCGATTGTTTTTTGGTAATGTCCGATTCCATTGCGGTTGTATCATATGCATCATTTTATGTCTTTTGTTTTTAAACTTCTAAGCTTGAATAAGTGTTTGCAGCTGAATTAGTGTTTTACCGTAAAAAAAATACTAAATATATTGTAAATTGCAACGTTGTACTAGTGCAATTTCAATCTCGAAAGATGTTAGATCGTAGATCGTACTCACTGTTTGTCGTATCTGGAATTTGAACGTTTTTATAAAAATTGAGGAGAGGAAAGAGAGAGGAGAATGGGGATATGATTGGGAGTTAGATGGTTCTTTTGTAGGAAACAGTGTTAAGGGCTTACCTACACGGTGAGATAATGCTCGACTAGTATGCATTTAAACGAGTGCATTATCCGCGCATTATCCGATATTAATGATCCTTTTGGCACAGGCCAATATGTAACTGATTTATCCACATTCTATTGTTAACGAAATCGCATATTTGGACTCTAAGTTGTTTCAATCTTTAACTTTAAGCAACATGGAAAAGCAATTATACAATATCTTTTTTTAGCTTTTTTTACAAGCAATTTGGTATAATATTTATTACATTTATTACAGTATCTAAAGTATTTTAGAAACATGAGAAATTAGCAAAAAAGATTACTATGTTAAAATTACTGTCTTTAATTATTTATTTATTTTTTGTGAAGGAATAATAAAATTTCCGAATTTATTAATTTTATTAGTCAGTATTTATGAGTCCAATGGATCCAAACATTTTCTTCAATTATGTTGTAACAAATTGTTTATAACAAATATTTTTTTACAATTTTATAAAATTGTAAGTTACATTATTTTAAGTTACATAATCTTATTTCTTACATTTTGATCTTCAAATATTGAAAAAGATCAATCAATGCTAACTTTAAATAAAGATAGATTAATTTTAAGACACGGATTCGCGAATATTGGTTAAGGCTCTAAACGAGTATCGATTAGGGTTGCCAGAAATTTCATTTGTAATGACCTCTCATCATAATATTTGGCGTTGTGGAAAAAATAACAAATCATGATGAACGATCGTTTTTGATCAATTTTTGATAGGAGAAATCGATCCTAGATTTATCAAATAATCCATAGATGCAGAAAATAAATACGATACTTTGTAGGCAGCATTTGTATAATGTTTGGAAAAAATCCCAATGCAAGCATTACTTTTTTTTACAATAGCAGCATAAGTGATTTCCTTTTCTTCGTGAGACAATCAGCCGCTCTGCTCTCTTAAGAAGTAATTTCTCACTTTGTCGGGCTAGCTCTGTGAGCGCTGTCAGACTACGTCTCTTCGTCGATTTGTACTTCTGTATCTTGGCCGTGTTGCGCACGTCCGTCCCGGATACGAGCGACGTGAGCCCTGCTTGTTAGCATTTCCGCGGCGTTGTTTTCTTTCCATGGTGCGTCGCGTTGTGTCCGATCGAGAAACTAATTATCTAACGTCGCGCCCTTAGTCTCAGGACCATTCATCTTTGCTGGTCGCGCGTCTGTGGCACCTTCATCTAGCACTGCCACGACGATCTTCCACGTAATATATGCGCACGTCTACTTTCTTCCGACTTGAAGAAATATTTTTCGAAAATCGACTAAATGGAATCCAACTGGATCTATAGTATAAATACTAACTCGACCACGTATCTTGGCGAAAATAAAAGACAGTAATCGCATATAAGAATAAATGCTTTTTTTCAAATGGTATAAAAACACTTTTCTCTCCTCTCTCTCTCTCTCTCTAAGAATATTCGTGTATCTCGTTACTATCTCTGTTAGATTATTAGGAAACATTAGAAACCAATGTTTCAAGACATCTTCTTTGTATTGTGTAAGGTGAGTCACTTTTTATACCTTAACGATGAAAAAATATGGTCAATTATCACAAATTTAAATTTAACAGAAATTTCAACATTAAATCTATATAAATCTAATGTAACTCAAATAATAAATACAAAGCAGGAACATTAAATTTGTATTAGCTGAGGATGATTCCAAAGTGAGTTCTCGAAACGTTCTAAATTTGTTATTTTAATGGAATAAAGTAATAATTTGAAGAAATTCACTTCTTTTTATTACTATATATGTATACCAACAACAACGCTGTACTTTCATTCGCTCCTAATCACTGGAATTCATGATTAGGAAACACGTTGGCAAATATAATATTGTATGCATGTAGGTATGTATTTTTTTATTTTCATCGTGTTGTTACAGATATTTGAATTTATAGTAATGTTTCACTTGTTAAGTAAGATTGAATGTTTAACGTTTGTGAAGCGATAGGAAAGATCGATATGGTACATCGTTTTTACAACATAACGGCCGTGCATTGACGATAAATTTACGAAAAACGAATTTTGTTCACTGTCGGAGTTTTAATTGCGTGGAAAATTGTCCACTGATATAGGACACGTTTGTATCCATTTGATAACGTTAGAATCGGTTGTTCTTTTGACATTATTTAATTTGAAGTATTATATCAATATTATATTATTGTAATTCATAAACATATTATTTAAAAAATTTATAATATGAAAAATTTAAAAGAAAGTTTATATATTTGATCCAAAATATCGAACATCAGCATTAGCTTTTTTTTTATTGTCATTACTCATTAGATATTTCTGCTTATTGTTTTTAGGAATGGAGGCACTTATGTCTGAATTTTTCAATGACACAACCACTGCGTTTTACATAATCTTGATAGTGTGGCTTGCTGATCAATATGATGCTATCTGCTGTCACACGGCTCTTACAAAGAGGCACTGGCTAAGGTATGTATTATAATTATCATTGATTTTGCAAAAATTAATAACATTGTCTTTTCTCGTGTCTTGAGCTTCGATTATCACGAGCAATAGGTTCACTGAGTAGTAAAGAAGAAAATCTAAGTGTTTCTGGTAGGAGACAAGATGATCGGGAGGGCATTTAATTAAAAAGGATCAAGTTGTATTAAGTAGAGTGAGCCTTGCGTGTCGGATATGTTAGCTAACCTGCTAGCGAGCAATCTTTTTCGCTTTAATCCAATAGCACTGGCTAAAACTGTTACGATCTGTGCCGGCACAAGCTTCTTTCAAAACTATGTATTTGAAATACCTTAGGGAATTGAATCTTTTTTATAATTGTGATTACACAAAATAGAGAGAGATGTAGTATATTTTTATCAACAGAGGTATTTTATAAGATATTTCTCTTGCATGGTCAGATAGATCGTATATATTCATACCTATTAAGAACAAAATTATTAAATGGTAATAAAAATTTCTTTTAATAGTACCAGCTTGACTTTCTCTGAGAATCGGCATGTTTTTGATTGACTTTCATTTTAAGAGTTAGAATTTTTTCAATTTTAAGAGGTTGAGTGGCGAAAAAAGTGGCGCCACTGTCGAATTCCTAAAGGGAATTCCAAAGATTAATATTTACTTTTGGTAAATAAATATTTCCTAAATGAAAAAATGATAGTTACGAGTATAAATCAAAGTAATGATCCTTATACCAAACATATATATATATATATTCAAAATATTCAGTTACTATTTAAACAAATATTTATTAAAATTTAGTACATTTTTTTCAGCGTGTGTGCGTGTAATGTTATGCCTAAAAAAATATATTATGATCTTTTTGTTGTTTGCCCTGATTCACCGAATATATATAAATATATGTATTTTATATCTGATTATTGACATATTCTGGTGATGCGATTAGAATTATCGAGTCGGATCAGATTTAGACGTCCTTTCTGCACAGGTTGTCCATTGATCTGTGGTTATAAACGTACGATCGATGTACATTCCGCAAACATCGAACAGCAATTCGCTGATTCAACAATCTAGTTGATCCTACGCAGAGACGTCAAAGCGAGGTTGAACTGAGAACTTCACAATAGAGATCGGGCTTTACGCTCGGTATAGCTTAGATCTCTCGGAAGGACTATACCGCGAGGCAATTTCCCTGGACGAACGAAGGGTTAGATCGGAACATTAGAGACATTAGGTGACGATTAAACAAAGCCGTCACCAACGACGAACTTACACCGATTCAGGGAATCCTATATTTCGACTCGGACGCAAACTCCTATGATATGGATTATTATTATTGGTTCGCTCTTACGGAATTGCTTTAAATCTTAAATAGATCCTTCTAAGGAAGTGATTTGAAGTACAAGGCATTCTTAAACGCGTTTCTTTTGTTAACTTGTTTTACTCATCTCCCGTGAAAAAAAATGCAATTAATTTGAAATATTTATTTTAAAGAGAGTTCTTGAAAATAAATAGTAAAAGATAACATTTTCTCGCGTCTTTGTATTGGAAAATTATCAACGTTTTACAAAATTCTACTTTGCGAGACGAGAAATTTACGCTTGATCTATTTTCGATTTGTATTCGGGCTTGGTGAGAATCAGTGGAACCTGAGTGTGCAGTCGGACCAGAGATTGGAAACGGATCATTAGAACTGGCATTAGCAACAATTAAATAGATCTGACGCCGGTAATAGTATTCGAGTCTCCGAAGAGCCCAAGTACGCGCCGCGCGTCCTGCTCCGTAGTCTTCTAATACGGGATTTACACTGAGGTGTAATTAGGATCAATTCTAATCGCGTGAGCGAAGCTGTGTCTCGGGCAGGAGTAATCGAGATCGTTATCGAGGGCGACGCGTGTCTGCAAGACAAATCAAATTGTCTAGTGAAACGCGTTGTCACTCACATAACGAAACGATCATTATGTTACTTATATATTGTATCACTCTGTGCGATATATAAAAAAAAATTGGAGAAAAAAGAAAAGATAAATACATATTAATAGTTTAATCGTGAACAATGCTCTCTGTGTCTATATAATGATAATTTTAAATACTAATATTTAGCGCGCGCGCGGGATTGAAAATTTTGATATTAATTTTAACACTTATAACGAAAAGACCGCGTAGTTTGTATTTCAGTACTCGAATATAATATTATACATAAATTGAATTATGCTTGAATCTCATTAAATATATTCAACATTAACACCAATATCTTTTATTTAATGCATTCATCAGGGAAACTATCGAACACTAATAAAATATTTTCCGATTTGAGTATCTGACGTGAGATTGTCGTTATATAGTTCCTGTGTCAACTTGTCTCTGTATACGTTAACTAATACCATTTTCCTCGTGTTTAAAGCGTTTATGTAATTGTATCGCGGACTTTCTATATACAGAACGTTTTGCATTAAATGCGTCATACGCGGATTAGGCACGAGTTACGTACAGATGTGTATTAGAACGCCAATGAACACTATTCATCGACTGTTTTCACGGGTCATCCGCTTTTAATTAGAAATCCGACTTTCACTTACGAACGGTTTATCGGATAGTCCATGTTTAGTTTCTGTTACGATTCTGCCACTGTTTATAAACTAAAATCTCCAAGCAGAAATGAAGGAAGAAATGCGCAAAAGTTGGTAAGTGTAGGTATAATGATTTTCTTTAACATGCATGTTGTGAATGCAGATATTTTGAATTAATTTACGTTGACAGCTAATAAACTTGGAATTCTATATGAAAAACGTATGGTACATTTGATTTTTGTTGTATTTTTTGCGCTACAATTAAATGTGACAAAAATGTTAGATTGATTTCTTTTTCTTGTGTATCATTCTGGGTGTATAGGTATGGTATACTATATTGGAAACTTTTAAGTTTAACTTTTTTCCAAGTGTTGCCATTCTTATAGGTTAAAATAAAACTCCTGAAGTGAAATCAGAATGGTATACGAGAGGAAAAGTCGTGTAACATACGAGATGTGGTAGGTAGATATTGCTAAGGGCGAATAGAGAAAGTTCAATGATCGTATGTCCCCTGATATTGATATGCGAATTTAGGCTATATATTTCTTATTTAATTATCGTAATACATGGAATAGTGTCATGATTTAATTGATTTGATGAACTTTCTTACTAAAAAGTTTTTTGTCTATTGATGATTTATAAAGAAAAGGTATAAGACGTTTTAATTGTTTACTGAATATTTATGAACTATTTCTCTGCGGAAAATCGTAAATGCACTCGAACAATTGATTCCATGCAGCATTAAAACCTCAACCTCGTGGTAAGAGTTTCATCCATTTGTTCGACGGAGGCTCTCTATACCACACGTGTGAAGTCGCGCGGGGATCGCCCTCGAAAACAATTAGAAAAGTGCTTTATTGAAAAGCCTTGTTGTAGTTCGTTGGATAATCTTGAATCCATCGTTATATTTCTCAAGTTAAATTGTATATATATCAATGTTTGCTTTTATAAAGATTGGTGGAATTGTGAGATGTTTATTTTTGTTTATCATAAACTGAAAAACCGATTATAAATAACAATTCTGTCGAGATTATTTTGATATTTTGATCGTATGTGACTTTCGTTATACGACATTCGTTCAAAAAATATCTAGACTTTGATTGTAATTTTTGTTTACAGAAAATAAACTCACTGGCGGGCTAATGTGACTTTATTTAGGTATTCATACACACATATAATTAGTTTTCTATTGTTCTGCATATTTTTGGAAGACTGTTCTTGATATTGCTACAAATTGTTGTGTTTTGTATCATTTTTTCTTTCAAATCGAATTTTATTTTGAGAAATAAAGAAGCAAACGGTCAAGAGAATACGGAAGTTGTTATACTTGCAAATTTTCGTAAGTTTGTTGAAATTGCACAAATTATGTATATGACGAATGTATACATTTTATCATGGTAAAATTACCGATTACTTGTTTTGGCTTTTCATTTTTCTGCTCGTGTGTGGTGTGTTACATCAATAGAACATAAAGTAAGATTTATTTCGTGAGATAATTTTTTTTTAAATACATACAGAGTTTATAAGCGACTAGTGTGACGTTCGAAGATGGAGATGGTCTTAGACGCTCGGTAGTTGAAAGGAATGTATTTTTAATTTAACTCAAGCAGAGTTTCTCGCTAGGTCTTTCTTTAATCTTTTTTTCTTCTATTATCTTTCGACAAAGCAAGTTTCTCAAGCGTTTTCTCTTCCTACTTGTTTTTTTCGTAGAAATGTAACTGTTTTCATTGTGTTTGCGGTTATCAAAATGCGACAATCTCAAGTTGCAGCAATCTATATTTTACTATTGTGATTTTCTAAATATATGTATACAATTGCATCTAGATCTAAGAATTGAAATTAATTTTGAGTGAAGTTACTCAAGTGAATAGTGGAGGAGGAAAAGTCAGACGATTCTTCACAAAAGATTGAAGTAAATGGATCGTTGAATATGATGGATGCTAGGATATGTTCACTCTTGCGTTCTTAATCGTCGGACAGTACGACTGATATTTTTGAAAATTCTTCTGTAAATTGATTAACGAGATCACGAATCAATTTATGTAAAGAAATTTCTGTGCATATAAATTTAATGAAAACGAACAAATATGAACAAGTATGATATGTTAAATTGTGTGTGTTTGCACATTTGTGAATATTGAAGAAATATACATATACATATATCAAGTGAATATAGAATATATTATTATATGTATGTTTTTCTCATCTCTCTCTCTCTCTCTCTCTCTCTCTCTCTCTCTCTCTCTCTCTCTCTCTCTCTATGTGTGTTTGCACATTTGTGAATATTGAAGAAATATACATATACATATATCAAGTGAATATAGAATATATTATTATATGTATGTTTTTCTCATCTCTCTCTCTCTCTCTCGGGGTGTTAGCAAAACAACACATTGGTCTTATTGAACATTTTTCTTAAGAAAAGTTCTTTCAACAACAGAA